CCCAACTACCTTACCCATTACAAAGATAGCTTCCCCGATTATCACCTCTAATACCATTAGCTCACAGACATTTACCTTCCTTCCCTGCCCCCCTTCATCCCCCTTCTGTTCTGAAATGTGATTTGTCCTTTTTATGTGTTCACTTTTTTTTAATTGTATCTTTTGGTATATATGGTTGTGACTATTTTCTTCCACTATTTGATCTGAGGAAGTGGGTCTTGCCCACGAAAGCTCATCATCTAATAAACCATCTTGTTAGTCTTTAAAGTGCTACATTGTCCTGCATTTTGCTTCAGCTACCCCAGACTAACACGGCTACATTTGTACCGCTGGAAGACCTCTGCATTTATCCCTGGTTGAGAATTGTTGCTTTAATGCAAATGGCGATAGAGCTGGTGTAATGGCCCAATTCAACAAAGCACTTAAGCATGTTCTTACATGTAAGTGCTTTGTTGAATAGGTACTTGCTTACAGTTTAGCATATACTTAAACTCTTTGTTGGTGGATGACGGTGCATAAAGTATTGTCACAGTGCTGCTTCAGGATAAATGAAACGCTCAATCTGAAACCTAGAATTCAAACACAGAGAAATCATAAGAACGGCTGTACTGGGTCAGACCAAAGGTCCATCTAGCCCAGTATCCTGTCTGCCGACAGTGGCCAGGACCAGGTGCCCCAGAGGGGGCAGACCAAAGACAATGATCAAGTGATTTGTCTCCTGCCATCCCTCTCCAGCCTCTGACAAACAGAGGCCAGGGCCACCAATTCAATGTTAAAGAAACATTCGCCACTTGAAATCAAACATTTAAAGAAAAAATGATTAAAGTTTCCTGTCCAAAATCTGCCTCTGATTCCTCCTGTCAATTTGGCAGATGTAGAGTATTTTTTTTTAAGTTTCCCATTACAGTGTTGGTATGTGAAAGTTTCACATATGCACTGTGGTCGGGTGTCCTCTGGTGTAACAGTGAAATCCACTTTACATACAATGATTCTGTCTCTCCAGAGTAAACCACAATAGCAACTGATTATAGTGAAACTGACTGTTATATAGAATACTGTCAAATACACCGACAAAGAGAAATATTGTGTCTTTAATCACTTGGTTGTGTGCAACAGTCATGGGTGGGGGAAAACCTCAGCCAAATATATGACACGGAAAAGGAACAGTTTCATGTTGTTAATGTTATTCCCCATTTTCATACCTAAAAACTGGCATTTGTATGCAAAGGGATATTTTCAAGATGTCCTGTAAGGGTGCTCTCTAAGTTTCCAAGACTAAAACAAAAGCATTGCATTGTTTAGGTACAGTAAAACTGGCAAGTGCTGGAAATCTAGGTGTGCAGAGAATGCGTAGACCGCCTTTTCCAGTTGAGCAGCTGTTTCTAACGAGACCAGGAGCCTGGGCAGGGCAGATGGAAGGCCTCATCAGAAGTGGCAGCACTGAGGAATCCCAGGGCACTTGCTTAGCAGTCTTTGGGCAACCTGTTTAAAAGCCCGAGATTTGTCCTTCATCCAGCGGGGAGTTGCATGACCGGCTCCAGGAAGAAACGGAGGCCTAACTGACAACATTTGTGATGTATTGCAGGCCTTTGCCCTCTTTGTCAAAGCAAAGGAAGTGCCAGCTGCAGCTCGCTGCCCGCCAGCCACATGCAGAGTGGGACAGTGGTGGGAATGCTGCGGACGAACCTTTCCAGACCTCACCGGCATGCACAGACACGTGGCCACGCAGCACTCCAGCGACATCCAGCAGCAGACGGGCTTGATTTTACAGCAGTTGGCTGCAGAAGCCGGCACCTCAGGAAACCCAGCTTCTGCAGACAAGGCAAATGGGCTAAGAGGTCCCCCTTATAACAGCCAGGAGCTCTCTGGGAGCCTCCCAGACACAAGCCACATTAGTTCTGATGAACTGACAAGGTAAGGAATTGCCTCAACAACATGAAACCTGTTTCTTACTGTGAGCCTGGGGGAAGCCCCGGGAAGAGCATTCCTATTGGCACTCATTTAGCCACAGCCATTTACAATTGTTTATTAAACTGTTGCAGCTTTTGTATATGACAGGGCCTTAGCTGACACAACTTCCTTTCATCCTAGTCACATGTTTAGATTCCTCTAGACCCCCTAAGACTTACCCAGTGTCCTGGAATCCCCTGGCCTCATTCCCACTTCCTCAATACACCTTGTGCAGCCTTTCTGACCTGTACCATGGAGCGTGGGTGCATGCGAGTCTTACGGAATGTGAGTCCAGCGTGCACCACCTCAGAATTCGGGCCCCAAATGGCCCTTAAAAAGAAGTGGATTTTTTTGCGCTTGGATAATTAAAATGGTTTTGTTTTCAAACCTCATCCTGTGTCCCCAAGGAGTCTCTGACATGTCTGGAAAACACGAGACCTTGCAGTGCACGTGTTTAAAGAATCAGGTCCTCAAATGTGGCTAAGGTACGAGCTACTGGCAATGGTAGCCCATGAAAGGCCGGTTAGTTTTTGTTAACATTGCCAAGGCAAGGATAGAAAACACTAGGGCCACAGAGATCTGCACCAGCTCTGACTGAATTCCACTCCCTGAAGTGAATGAAAGCAAACCGCATAGCCTTGGCCTGTCCCTCAGGATGAATTCCCTGTTTGACACAAATTAACTGCAAGATCTCGTGCTGCCGACTCTCAAGTACCCTTCCTGTTTGTTCTCCTTTGCGGCACTCGTAGCAGTGGCGAGGGAGAAGTGCTGCTGTATTACTGTTACTGTGAGGTGGAAAACCCAGAGAGGCTCTGTGGCTGGCAGCAGTCTCTGTGCCAGCAGCTTCATCTCACTGGCAAGGTAAGTGTATAAGGAGCGGCTGCTTCCCTCTTGCTATTTCTCTCTCTTCAATGGGAAATGATGCGCCAGAAAGCCAGGCTGGCGCCAGCACTATTGCACTGAGGGAGAGAGCAAAGCGTTTCACAACTGCTGTGGAGGGCTGCATACAGGTAGGGCTGCTTATTGTCAGGCAGGTTTTTGTGCCTCAGAGCTTCACAGACATTAAGGCTCTGTCTACATTAGCGGCTTCTTGCGCAAGAATCTGCAGAGTGTCCACACTGCCCGCACGCAAGGACATTCACAGTACGGCGTGGTACGAGGGCTCCTTGCACAAGAGCTATGCTCTTTTCTATCAGGTGTAAGCCCTCTTGTGCAGGAGGGCAATGTGGACGCTCAGCAGGGATTTCTTGCGCAAGAAAGCCCTAAGGCTAAAATGGCCACCAGAGCTTTCTTGTGCAAGAGAGCGTCCACGCTGCCATGGGCGCTCTTGCACAAAAGCACAGCTCACATGGCAGTGTGGACGTGTTCTTGCACAAGAACCTTTGCAGTGCAGACCTAGCCTAAGGGCCCCCGTGCGTGATCTCGTAGCAAGGTGTGGTACCGCAGGCCTGCCTCTACCTCAGTTTCTCCAACCACGCTTTCCTGCCCGCTCTGGTGGTTTATGTGGCTCTGCCCTCCAGCCAGGTTACTACAAAGCTCAGTCCCCTTTGGGCTAACACAGTCTAATGTCACAATCACAGCACAGAGGAGCATTCTCAGCCCTTTCAAAGTTACTCACCGGCTGGGTTCAGCTCTCAAGTGCTGTACTGCCCTTCAAGTGAAACGCCCTCGGCCAGGTGCCCGGATACTTCCAGACAGCCCTGGACCAGGGCGGTTCCAGCTGCCATCTGTACTATCCCTGCTTTTCTGCCCAGCTGTGTTCATCCCCCAGCGAAGCTGGCTCTTTCCTCTCCAGCCCTTCCCCTCCTACCACTGCAACTGGCAGGGCTGAGTTAGTTCACAGCAGCACATAGACCTTTCCAGGTCCGTGTGGGTTTGGAAAATGGCCACATGGCTCGTCTAGTCCGACTCCCTACGTCCTGTAGGACTAGTCACGAGGCGACAGTGCCTAACTCCCGTAGACGTCTTCTCCATCCTGTCCTGAAGCTCCTCAGCCTGCTTTGCTACTTGGTTCTGCTGCTCCGTTGCTCTGATAGCCTCTCTCCCCGGCCGCCCCTAAACTTTCCCTTCCTTAGCATCAGCTCTTGGCTTCTTGTCCTGCTGTTCGCAGAGTACAAGTAGTTTCTTTTCCAACACTGATAGTCCAGCTCCCTTGAAAATAAGACCGTGGTCCGTGACCCCCAACACTTCTACTACAGTAGGACCTCAGCCTTATGAGCTGACCAAACACCTTGTTTGGAACGCAAAGTACGCAGTCAGGCAGCAGCAGAGACCAGACAAAACAAGCGTGGCGCAGTGCCGCGTTCAATGTAAACTACTAAAAAATAAAGGGAAAGTTAAAAAAAGATTTGATAGGGTAAGAAAACTGTTTCTGTGCTTGTGTCATTTAAATTAATCTGGCTAAAAGCAGCATTTTTCTTCTGCACAGTAAAGTTTCAAAGCTGCATGAAGCCAATGTTCAGCTGTAAACTTCTGAAAGAAGAACCGTTTTATTCAGATACAAACGTTTCAGTGGTATGAACAGCCAGTTCTGAGGCTCTGCTGTACGTCCTTTCACTTGGTTGTTCTGTCTCGCATTCCCAACTCTGTCCATAATTTGTTGCCCCTCTTCTACATTTTTAGTTTTTCTTTATTCATAGGGGCTGGGGCCCAGAACAGCACAGTATTGTGGCTGAGAGCCTAGCCTGTGTCTGGCCTATGAACTGCTTTCCAGAACTGATGATGTTTAAAACACACTAAACCCCCGAAGTCCTTTATACACAAAGTCATGCTCCTGTATCCAGGAGAATGAGCGAGAAAGCACCTTATTTTTTTGCTGTTTTTTTTTTTTTTTAAATGTAGCTCCTAGTCTAGATACCAGAGTGAAATGCCCTGATACATTCATTTCCTCGTCTTTCTTTGCTCATTTATTTTACTTGGTAGTTTCTCATTTCTTCTTTCTCAAAGACAGATGTTACATTTACGCTTGTCAGCTTCAGAGTTTTCCTGTCTCGCTTGATTTAGTCAACATTTGCTTCCATCCTTTCTAACATTTTCTTTGCTTTGAAAGAAATCTGTACTGCTTTAGGTGTAATGAATCCAAGTTGGATAGATTTTACTGCAAGACATGAACTTTCACTCTTTCTACCTGTTTTATCAGGACTAAAATCATTGTTCTTACTCGGCTAAAACTCCCATTGAAGGGTCTATCTGACTAATTCCTGCAGAATTTGTCCCTTACAATTGTTTTTCTGCTTCCTGCACAAGATTTTCTGACTTCATTATCCTTTTTACAATACAGAGCAAAAACAACTGTAGAACAATTTCTACCTTTTGCAGTTTTTCTTTTGCTGCACTTCTAAGGATCACAGTAGCTTTTTCCTCCACTTTTTTCTCTTTTCCTGAACATTTTCTACATTTCTTCTTTCATTCCCAGTTGATCCTAGTTTATTAATTTCCTTTTGATCGTTTGCATTATGACTAGATTTTAATCTTCCTTTCTGGCTTCTAGGTGCGCATTGCTTCAGAAGGAATTAACGGAACAGTTGGTGGAAGCAAAGTAGCTACCAGTCTTTATATAGAGGCAATGGTTTCCCATCCTCTGTTTACAAACATTTTGAGCAGAGAGGATTTCAAGGTAGGAGAAAGGGGCCCACAAACTGTTATTTACGCCAATGTTTCTTTTTATCCTCAGAATTTCTTATTTGAAATAAACGTTACTTCTTAGAGGCATCCCTCTATTGCACTAAAAATCCACGTTAAACCCAAGGAATTCAACTCCTGCAGAGTTGGCCTAAGCAACAGTTTATTGGGGGATAACCGACTTTTTTTACTATTGTTTACTGTCCCATTGGTAGTTTTGTCTCCAGGGAGAACACCTTTCTATGTTGTAAATGAGACAGCCGGAGGGAATAATTGTGCACCTTTAAACTAAAAGTTCTTATAAAATTCTAGTGCTGGTTTAGCCTTTTTTCAGTAGGACAGCAGCAAAACCTTCACCTATATGTGCCAAGTTGCACTTGTGCACTCCTGCATCACATTCTCCCAGCTCAAACACCAGCATGTGCAATTTGCACGATCTCCTATTCTGCCCACACAGGATGGAAGTTTCACACTCAGCGCTCCTCCCCCATGCACGTTGTGGTTAGCAGAACCCTGCATCTGGCTGGTCCCTCATGGATGCCATCAGGGTCCAGCAAGCCTCATGGATCACTGCACACTGCCATTAACTACAGTCCCCTCAGGCCAAACGGTGCTCTGTCAGGGATCACATCGCAGTGAAGCACAAACCCACTAGCGGAGCCAGAGGTCAGAAGGGAGTTTTATTTACTCTTCTGATCGGACGTGAATTTAGCATGGATGAAAGGTCCCTGCTTGCCAGCCCTGGAAACGAAACCTTCCTTCATCAACAAAATAGACTCAGCACACTCCCCGGCAGGGTAGGCCTCTTCCTGCTGCCTGGTCTTGTGGCTGCCCAAGAGGAACCGTAGCGAGCAGGGCGACGCTGGCTCAGTTTCCATGGTCCACTCAGCCCTTGGCACCTCTCTGCTAGTGGCCAGTTGACTTTTTAATAGTTATTGGAATAACTGTCCTCCAGGAACAGGACTGGGACCACAGCCACTCTGATGATTCAGAGAGGCAGCCTTGGTAGTAGAGAAGCCCTCACCGTCCCTGCTGCCATCCAGCCCCCCAGAGTGACCTGCTTGCATCGACATCTCACATGAATTTAGAAACTAGAAAGACAGTGACCGCTTAGCAGGGCCGAAGGGGTCCGTTGGCACGGTGTTAACTGGACAGCAAGGCGTCTCTTTGGTAGCATGACGATGTTTTTAATTTCCCAGCGCAGCGCAGGAGGAGCACGCTGCTTCCCGGACCTGCGAGTTGGTGTATTTGAAGAGATCGTGCCGATGGGCATCGAGCCAAACGAAGTCTCCTACAAAGAAACTGGTACAGTGATTCGATGAACACTAGTAACTTGTCTTCAGCAGAATTTGGCATTGAACTGTGAGGCAAATGATAGAGCAATGCACCCTCACCAGAACACCATCTTTGCACTCTAAGCAGGACGTGACAGGTAGCAGGGTGAGAAAATCCCCAGGGGAGCTGCTGGGCTTGCAATGGGGGTTCCCTTTGTAGCAAAACTGCGAGATCAGGTCACTGATTTGCACACTATTTAGCTCTTTCGGCAGCTCGAGGTTAAACTGTCCCTTGCATTTTGCTGAAGTAGTAATAGTTAAGATCACAGACTCTTGCCCATCGTTTTGAGAGTGAACCACAGAACACTTGAAAAGTCGTAGTGAGTAAGAAAGGCTGTAAGGAAAAAATACGGGTCATGAACGATGCAATGATTGGGAGGAGTTTTTCAGCCGAAGAAATTGCTTTAAACACACACACCAGGACAGAGTTGGTTTAGCCTCTCTCAGCATCAGACTGGCAAAGAGATTCCAACACTGGCTTTGTTCTGGGAAGTAGCTGGTTCTAAGCTGGGTTCTGCCAGAAGGGACCATGTGTTGCTGCTGCCAGGCCTCTGACCTGCCCATTTTCAGGGTGATTTGTCCTAATCTGGTGGATTTTACAGAGTGTAAAAGTTGCAACCTTAACTGCCAAGAAAGAAATCCCATCCTGGGAGATCTCTGTGCCCCCGCACGGTTCCTTTAAGAGGAAAGGCAGGGCTGCCCCTCAGCCGGACGCTGCTCGAACCAGCACGCTTTGCCCGCCGGTTACACAGCTGTTTGATGGAAAGCAGCAGAGGGTTGAGAGTTGGGTTTCCTTGGTTCTGGAAGGGAAATCTGGGCTCATTCTTAGAGCAGGAGTAAGAGACGGGCTGGACAAGCCCAGAGATCGGGCACATACATTTCAAGAGCTTGAATGGCTGAGACTTGAATCCGCTGTGTCCGAGATCTGGGTTCTAGTCCCAGCTCCATCTTGTGTGGCCTCTGCTGCTCAGGCAGGTCGGCCGATATAAAGGTTGTTAGAGGCACAGCTCCAGGCCTAGCAGCCATGGAGGAAGAGGCTTGTATGGATGATTCCCTGGCCCTCCACTCCGGGCTGCAGTGAGAGACTCTCTCAGCTCCAGCTAGGTTACTGCTAACTGTAGCGCTAGGATTCCTCACGGGCCTGCCATTCGCTCTCTGGAACCAGAGTTGTTTTTACGTCGGGGGTTTGCATCTTGTTCTTGGCATGAGTCACTGGCTCTCAGGTAGAGCAGCGGAGGGCAGGGAGTCTCTGGCCCACCCGGCCCCCAGATTCACATCACAGTCTCTCCCCCGAGCCTGGAGCTGACATTTGTGCCGTTGGTTTATTCAGTGCCGCGCCGGAGGTACTGGCTGCACTGGGGGCAGTAGCAGAAGAGCAGCACACACACTGGAATACCCATAGTCAGCGGCGCTCACGCTAGCTCACCAGAGCATGGCTGCATGGCTTCAGGGACTGGAAATGGGCTACAGAGCTGCTCACTGCTAAGCCAAGTCAAATACCAACTAGGGCAGCAACTACACGGGCCTTGGATGGTCTTAGTGTGGCGCCCTTGACATCATTGTCCAGACATGAAGAACCGAACGGCCTGAGTGCAAAGCTCTTTTTCCATCCCTCCCTCCCTCCCTCCGGCTAGAGGCAGGTTAGCAAGTGCAGGGCCGGCCTGCTGGGTTCCATTCGCCAAGGCTGACAGTGCTGCTCTCTGGCAAACAGCCTCGTCCTCACATCTCCGGTGCCAGGAGACGAATGCAGCCGGGGGCACTGCTTGGCCACGCCGTGAAAGCCGTGGCGCTGCTCCGGGCCGTCACGTCTTCACACCTCCCCCGGGGCAGGCAGCCGGGATACCTTTGTGCTCCTTTCATTCAGGCCCTGCTGGCCCCGCCCTCGTGTCTCCAGGACACCTGGGAGTAGGGAGTGTAAAATGCCACATGAGCAGGCCTGGCTGCCCACTGCAAGGCAGACGCAGCTTGGCCCCTTTGTTCCCTCCCACCCGCTCTGGCGCACTTGTTCATTGGCTGAAGCCCGAGGAGCGAGGTCACAGAGACGTTTGCCCAGGACGTGTGGGATGAGACCAGCTGACATTCCGGCAGTGGGCCGGTCCCAGAGAAGCACATCACTGCTGGCTTAGAAGAGAGGCCAGGTGAATTTAAGCCAGTTCAGCGTGTCAGCGCTCCTCTCCATGTGCTGTTTCATTTTTAGGGGTCCATTTATCCCCCGAGGAGTTCCATAAAGAAGTAGAACAGTATCTCTCTCAGGCCCAAAGCGACACTGTGTTACTGGACTGCAGGAACTTTTACGAGAGTAAAATAGTAAGTGGTGTGCACTTGCTCCCTGCTGGGTGCGGCTGGCGGGGGGCTCGTTTCACCCCGTCCGTGTGGGTGGGCGAGGAGGGACTGCCATGCTGCCTGGCAGCTCTCTGGGGTGCCGGTTCGCAAAGGGCACGCTGCCCCAAGCAGCCCGGGCCTGCCAGCTGCCTCAGCACCGTGCTGAGGGCAGGCCTACAGCTCAGTGCTGTGCCGCAGTGTAAGAGGGGGACGCCAAAGCTATTCGCATCTAGCCATGCCAGCCAAAGCCCCTGCTACTGGCCAGCAGTGCAGCAGCAAGACGGCCTCGGTTCCGCCAGGTGCCTCCTGTGTGCTGGGTGGCAGCGTCGCACGTGTGGCTGGCGCACTAGAATCCCCAGGCTGTGAGGCCCAGAGGGCCGTGTGCCGAACCAACTCTCCTTTACATCAGTGGGCATTAGGTGCGGAAAGACCCTTCCGGGGTCCGAGCCCAGGCAGGTGCCGTGACCTGGAGGGCCAGGCCCCAGGGTTGGCTCTTTCCTTAGCTCACGCCTGCCAGTGTGTCGCTCACACGGCCGCTTCTGGCCACAGGGTCACTTCCGGGGCTGCCTGGCTCCCGACATCAGGAAGTTCAGCTACTTCCCCAGCTACGTGGACGAGAACCGGGCGCTTTTTGAAAACAAGCGAGTGCTGATGTACTGCACGGGAGGCATCCGCTGCGAGCGCGGCTCCGCCTACCTCCGCGCCAAGGTGAGGGCCATGCTGGGAGCACCAGGCCAGGGGCTGGGGGCATCCATTGCCCAGCCGGGGAGGACGCTGTGGGGGTGGCCTTTTCTGCCACTGGCTGGTGGCAATGTGGTGTATAGGGTGGCTATAGAGCGTCAGGCCCGTGGTGTTTGTACATGTGGTGGGAATTAGGGATGTGAACTCCTGGTTAATTGGTTAAGCATACTGTTTAATGGATTAAATGGCCGGGGGGGTGGGGGGGCTGCTGCAGCCCCCTGCCCATGACAGGTAGGGAGCTACCCCAGCTGTTAACCGTAACCAGTAAGTCTCCCTCCATTAAGGGAATCGTCAGAAGGGGACGGCCTGTGCCCCAAACCATCATTTCATGTTGGAGCCCTCCCTGAAATGAGAATTGCAATGGGGGGTGTCTCCATTTTCAGCCCCCCCAGCTCTCCTTGTGCAGTCTGACCTGTGTAGAGCAAGGAGTGCTGGGTAATCCAGTGTCCCCTCTGCCTCGTACCCCAGTGGCCCGTCAGAGCCCCGCGAGGCGCTGGGGGCTGCAGGGTGGCCGGCCGGGCTGGGTGGGCAAGGGGCAGTCCCGGGATCCAGCGGCGCGCGAGGCAGCGTGGCACGGCCTAGGCCAGTCGGGCTGGCGCTTTGTTTCCGCAGGCGGCATGCAGGGAGGTTTACCAGCTGCAGGGCGGCATCCACAAGTACCTGGAGGAGTTTCCCGATGGGTTCTACCGGGGGAAGCTGTTTGTGTTCGACGGACGTTTCGCCATCTCGTCCAACGAGGACGTGGTTGCAGGTAGGGCGCTCGCGTCCCTGATGGCAGGAGGCAGCTGCACTAGTCGCCCCGAGCCCTCCGGGCGGCATGCAGGGAGGTTTACCAGCTGCAGGGCGGCATCCACAAGTACCTGGAGGAGTTTCCCGATGGGTTCTACCGGGGGAAGCTGTTTGTGTTCGACGGACGTTTCGCCATCTCGTCCAACGAGGACGTGGTTGCAGGTAGGGCGCTCGCGTCCCTGATGGCAGGAGGCAGCTGCACTAGTCGCCCCGAGCCCTCCGGGCAGCTGGCCCTGCTGCCTGTTCCCAGCCACTGAATTCCCTTAAAGTAACTAATCCACGGAGCGCTGAACCCCAGCCACACGGTTAACCCCTTAAACTATTGCACTTGTATCGTTTAACCAGTTACCTTTTACATCCCTGCTTTACTGCTCAAACCACGGAGCAGCACAGCACTAAGCCTGGGCCAGCCGCACAGGGAGCTGGCTCCCCAGGCCTAGACTGGCAGAGCGGGCTGCCACGCTCTGGGAGAAACAAACCTGGTAGCACCAGCCCGTGAGGCACCGGCTGGGCCTGGCTTTCCAGGCGTAGGCAGGCCCGGGAACTGGGTTTCATGCTAGTAAAAGCTGAAGGGCTGTGTCTAGACTGGCCAGTTTTTCCGGAAAATCAGCCACTTTTCTGGAAAAACTTGCCAGCTGTCTACACTGGCTGCTTGAATTTCCGCAAAAGCAGTGACTTCCTACTGTCTGAAATCAGGGCTTCTTGCGGAAATACTACGCTGCTCCCATTCGGGCAAAAGTCCCTTTTGCACAAAACTTTTGACAGTAGTGTTTTCCACAAAAAAGCCCCGATCGCGAAAATGGCGATCGGGGCTTTTTTGCCGAAAAGCGCATCTAGATTGGCCACGGACGCTTTTCCGCAAAAAGTGCTTTTGTGGAAAAGGGTCCTGCCAATCTAGACGCGCTTTTCCGAAAATGCTTTTAACGGAAAACTGTTCTGTTAAAAGCAATTCCGAAAAATCCTGCCAGTCTAGACGTAGCCAAGATGCGTGACCACACCAGCTGGGACCTGCTCTCCAGCTTGGACCAAGGTTGCTGGCGAGCGGTGGCCAGCATAGGCCGTGGCCTGATCTCGCCCGTGGCCTCTCTGCTACTGCTGACGAGAGTCGTGTGCATGCCAGAGGGCGGCGCTGCTGTCTCTAGATGCCTACTCAGAGCTCGGTTGCCATCGAGAAGGAGACCGGCCTGGTGCTGGGCGCAGAGTGCCCGTTGGCCTGGCGGGAAGTGGCACAGCTCAGTGCGCCGCTAGCAGCCAGGGTTCGCTCCCGGCGGTGCCACTGAGTCGGGGGAAAGCGGCTCAGTCAGGGACGTGCCCTGGGGCGAGTGCCCAAGGCTGAGAGCGTGGTCCCAAGGCAGCCCTTCCATGCCTGGTTGCACTCTAGCCACGGGGAGCCGTGGGCCACTGCCTGGGGCCAGCCGGTTCCTACACTGGGGGCCCTGGTAGCAGGAAGGAGTTTGCCTTAAGCTTGTTAACACGGAAATCCATGTTAACAGCCCCTTTGTGGGCAGGGCTAGACCTCAGTCTGGTGAGGAAGCCGGGCAGAGCCAGAGAGCAGTGCCCTGAAGGATGAAGGGTTTGCAGAGGGATGTTCTCCAAGGGCTGCGTAGGCCCCCGATGGAACGGGACAGACAGGGCGGCGTGGGTTTAGCTTGGCGTCTCCTCTCCCCAGAATGCAGGTACTGCGGGGCGCCGTGGGACCAGTACACACTGTGCTCCAGCCCACACTGCCGGCAGCTTGTCCTGGCTTGCCCAGGCTGCCGAGCAAAGGGATTCACAGCTTGCTGTCCCGCTTGTCAGGAGAAGGGGCTGGAGCTGGCTGCACGCCCTTCAGGACGGCTGGCCAAGGAGGAGTGCGAGTGCACGGACCGACGGCAGCGGGTACCAGCCCAACACGCCGGAGGGAGCGTGTTCGGCGCCGGACGTTAGATGCTGCACAGCTTACACTTGCGTTTAGGCTCGGGGCTTCCTATGCTGAATCCGAGTCACTCGTTGAGAACCCTGCGATGGCTTCGAAACGCTCAGCCTGTGTCGCTGCACCGGGGACACCAAGAGTGGTGCAAGGATTCCTCCCGCTGCAGCAAAGTCACTCTTCCGCCTCCCCCAGTGCGAGGGGCACCAGGGAGAACTTGGCAGGTGCTGGACTCCTCATGGGGCTCGGCCCCTCCCAACCAAGTAGCAGGTAAAAGAACAAGCAAAGTCTGGGCTGGGTGTGTCGGGGGCCCGTCCCGTAGGGCCCTAGCTAGCGAGGGGGCAGCAGGTTCTCATTCGCTGGGAGCACACGCAGACGGCGGCTGGGGCCATTCTCCACTCCAACACCAGCAGCCAAGTCTCCACGCCCGTGTCCAGGGTAAGTCACACTCGTGACCAGCAGTGTGAGGCCAGTGCCTGGACCCACCACTGCCCCAGAGCAAACGCTGGTGCCGCTCAGTGGCCGTGGAGAGGTTCACCTGGCCAGGTGTGCTGTGTGGGAAGAGGGGGACAGGCACGTCCCTGCAGCCTCTGTCCTCCCTCGAGGCGCGCAGAGCCCATGGCAGCCGCAGTTCCCGGGATGGATCTTTTAAATGCCCACGATACGGCCCAGGCCTCACTTTGTGCTGGGAGTCCTGCAGACGCAGGAGCTCTGAAGTGGAGCCAGCTGCTGAGGGAAGCAGGGGCCTGGTGCAAATAGCAAGGAGCCCCCGGGCATTGGAGCAGTGTGGAGATCGCGAGGAGCGAGATGCATCCCCGTGGAGCCAGCACACGTCACCCTCAGCCCTTGCTAAGGCCTGTTAACCACCAGACCCTCACGCGATGCCCTGGTAGTCCCTGGGCCAGGGCCAGGCTGCTCACGCACCTGCCAATACAGCCTCTGCAAAGAGGGTTTGTTATTCGCTTGGAAAACTTGTCCCTGCAGAAGCAAATCCTCTGAGCAACGGGCCCTTGGGTCCCAGGGAAAGTCAGTTCGCAGCTGTGTCCTGACAGCGGCTTTGCTCAGTGTCACTGGGCCCGCGGTGAGGAAGAGCAAATAGACGCCCTGCCCGCCTTGCCCGTCCGGCCGCGCTGCAGCCTGGTGCCTCTGCCACGTGCACGGTGCCTCTGCGCTCTTGCAGCAGCTGCAGCACCTCTCCTGCATGGCTTAGCCCTCTGGCCAAGTCACGGTCGTCCTCCCCTGCCAGGCGTTCATCGGAGTCTCCCTCAACACTTCCCTCTCCACCCTGCGGACTGCACCGCTCCCGCAGTGGTCAAACGGGCAGCCCAGGCTCCCTCTGCCCCCGGCTCCAATCAGGGGAGGTCTGCCCCGGCCCCCCTTACTGCTCCGCCTTTGCTGGACTGCGTCAGTGCTGCCTCGGGGCAGGAGCAGGAGACCGGGGGGCTGTAGGGGACAAGGGGGCAGCTGCCATCTCCAGCATAGAAGGCAAGTTCATTCCGTGCCCTCCATTTTAAGGTTTAGTGTATAGATGTGTCCGGGGCGTGGCCTTTGCCAGATACACCCACGGAAGCACACTGCCACCGCCTGCACGCTGAGCGGGTACATGTCCACGCAGGCCCCATGCTCGCTGCAGGCAGGGATCCCCTTTGCCTCCAGCGGGAGCGACCTGCCATCATTTATTGCAGCTCTGCTGGTGCAGAGCCAGGTGCTTTTCGCCAGGCCCTCTTCTCAGCTGTGCAAGTCCTCGCTCTGCTTGGCCCACGCTTGCGCTCTTCCCCCGTGATTCCAGCACCACCTGCGGCACTACGGAGTGCACGGGCTCGCCCCAGGCACCCAACTTGCATGCACAAGCCCTGCCTCCAGGGCCAGTCATAATCAATTGGCAGCCCCAGGCAACTGCTGGGGAAAATTTGTCAAGCAAAAAAAACCCCCCCACCAAAATGCAGTCGCAGCCCCTTTAATTGTCGTGTGTCCTGAGCGGACTTCCCTCGGGCTCTGTCAGCGGCCCCAGGCACCCACCCGGCTCGCCCACCCCTAAGACCGGCTCTGCCTGCCGCCTCCCTCAGCAGGGGGGCGCTGATGCGCCGGCAGCAGGGTGCAGTGCTTTTTAAGAGCTGTTTTCATGTAGAGTAAGAGCCTCCCCTCAGCCTGCACAGCAGGGCCCCTTCCAGCACTCCCCACCCACCCAGGGCATCTGGGCAGGCCGTGCACACCTGGGTCAGTTCCAGTCTCCATTCCCGAGTCGGAACTGTGCCAGTCTGGATGGGCAACTCTGCCAGTCGCTAGCGACTGGATCTGGCCTGATGTTCTCGCGGACGTGCCTGGCGCTGTCCAAATGGCGTTGGCCTAAGCAGGCCCGGCGGGCTGGGCAGCATTCTCTAACATTGGGGATTGTACAAAATATTCTGTGGGCACCTTTTCGTTGTCACGTAGGAGACATTTATTAGGCTTTGACGAGCAGCAGCCAAACACGCTTATATTGCCCGCGCCAGGTTCCCGTGTGACAGTCAGAGCTACAGTAAATCGGGGCCAAGCCTGACTCATGCAAAAATGCTACTGAAATGGGTGGAAGTTTTGCTGTAATACACAGTGCGCAGACTGCAGCCCTCCAGTGGGAACGGCAGCAGGCAGAAGGTTGTTCAGTGAAGAAGGCTGGCTGGAGGCTTTCAGTGCATGAACAAAGGCCCTCGGTTGGCAGTGGTTCTGCCTGGGCAGACAGCCTGCTGTGCAGCCAAACGTCCGCTGGCATCCCTGGGAGTCGGGGTGGGTGTAATGGCCTGCGGGGGAGGTACCCGCTCCTTGACCCGCGGGAAATTCCTCCCTAGAAAGACATCACCCACACAAGCCCAGCTGCCTCGTGTGTTTATCCAACTACTCAGATGGCCCCCTGAACGACACGGGTTCCTGGGCGGGGCATTTTCAAGTCATGTTGTTAGTAGGGTGAACTATTCAGAAACCTGGGATGTTGGTAAAATAAAGTCTCCAGCAGAACAAGAAGTTTTGCAGATAAATAACATGGTTGTCCAGCCAGAAAACCAGACTTCAAGTGAGGGCTTCAGTGCACTCGTTACAAGGCCCAGTAGAAACACCACGGACACATTTCCAACAGACGGTCCAGGGGGAAATCCTGCCCCGACTGAAGCCAATGAGAGTTTGCTCCTTACTTCAGTGGAGTCGGGATTTCCTTCCCAATCTCTCAAAGCAATGGTTTTCCACAGCCACGTGAAAGGAGACTGGAAGATTTCAACCAGCCCATTCAATAATGACTGCTCTGTTTTGATGGAGCTGTTACTTCATAATCAGTGGCCTCGTGTTCTTTGTGTTTGGTGGGGGGAGTGATGAATTCTTTTAGGGAAAATATGGGTGGTTTTGACATCTTGTCTACAAACATTGGAGTAAATGTTGGTATTTAACTGTAATTTACAAGTTCCTAAAAGGGACAGTAGAAACGTGGTAGGAGAGTAGAAATGCTTGTCCAACAGCTAATGTATCTAATACTTGAGAGCAAGTTGAAAAAATAAAAGTATTTTTAAATACTTATGCAACTTGTGTAGAGCAGTAATTTTTTCCACTCATGCATAACACACCCTAAATATATCTGAAACACCACACAGGAAATCCTAAGAGAAATCAAGTCATGAATTAACAGTCACTTTTGTGCTGGGATGTATCCTAAACTGAGACTGCTTAAAATTGGCAACTTGCTGTAACTGGATTGGCTTGACTCTAAAGAAAACATCAGTAGTCATGTTTGATCAAATCATCACCTACAATCACTAGTTAATTTAAACCTTTAGTGCATAAGGATGCAACACAGAGCGTAGGCACCACGGATCTTTCTGTGCAGGCACTTTGCCATCGGATTTCCACAGAATAGCACAAACCACCAGGCACGATTTTCACAGCCGGGAGCTACACCCCAGTTCGGCACTTGGGATAGAACGGCCCATTCAAGTCGGCAAGTCTCCTCTTCCTCACTGAAAAAGAGCAGGACCAAGGGTCAGTCAAGGCAGACGCTGCGCACACAGATAGCAGGTGATAGCAGACAGACCGTGTAAAACCAGAACTTAACTCATGTGCGTGTGGGTGTAGGTGTAGGGGGGGCGGAGTTTGGGGGATTTTCCATAGAGTTTAAGGCCAGAAGGTACCACTAGACCATGTAGCCTGACTACCTGTACAGCACAAGCCAAAGTATTTCACCCAGCTATGCCGGCACTGAGTCCAATAACTTGTGTTTGGCTAAAAGCATCTCTTCGGAAACTCCAGTTCTGATCAGATGACATCGAGGGGGGAAATCCACCGCTTCCCTTGGGAGTTTGTTCCAGTGCTTAACCGCCGGCTTGTTAACAATGTGTGCCAAATGTTTAATCTGAAAGCCTCTGGCTTCAGCTGCCGTCCATTGACTCAGGACTGAGATTTTCAAAGCAGTGCAGGGGATTAAGCCTCATCTCTTCCAGTAAATTTGAAGTGTGACCTTGAGAACACAGATCAGGGGCTTTGGACATCAGTTTAAAATCTGTGTCGTTTAAAAAAAGGCTCAAAAATGGAAGTAACTGTCATCATCTTCAAAGGGGGACGAAGCACCCAGGTTCCGTTACACACAAGTGTGCTTGGTAGCATAACCGCACTGCTCCCGGAGCACTTCATGGCAGGCAGTGATCCGCACAGCAGAGGCAGGGACAGAGCAGCTAGTGAATACCTGCAGTGGCACAAGGACCACATGGCTTCTTTTCCAGTGTACTGCTTCTCTGTAGCCTTCCAAGCCCAGAAAAAGCGCCCCTGCCACAACAGCTTTTCCCTCCTCAATGTCTGAGCTGCATTTTTCTCTCCTTCTGCATGCAGTGGCGAGTATTTCCCCAGGAGGGATTTAAAGTGGATGCATTCACCGCTTGCGTGTTTGAAATTCATAGAGAGGAAAAGAAAAAGCAGCCAGAAAAGGGAGAATGCAGAAACTAGCTCATCGGAAGATGTAAAAAGCCTTCACTCTACCATTCCAGATCACACCTAGTATCCTGAAGGACAGGCGTGTCTGCAGCTGAGCCAAGAGGAGTAAAACAGAAGCTAGAAAGAATAAAACCAGGTTTGATTGGAGCAAGGTGGTGGCAGCTGAGAGCACAAGTGGAGGAGCACAGAGAGAGAGCTATTGCCAGTAGGGAAAAAATTCAGTTTGTACTTATACATGGTCCAGTTGCAGGGCTGAGAAGTTATGCCAGAGGCCGTCAGAGCGACGAATACGAGCTGCAAACAAGAACCAAATCAGATCTCTTCGGTACAGGTCTCATGCTCAAGGGGGCAAATTCTATAACAGGCACGGTCACTAACTTATCGACCAAAGAGGCGCACGAGCGAAGAATTAAATGGAATGCCATTTCTAAGATCGACATGGGGATGCGCCTAGATTCCAAGTTCGTAAAAGCCAGCTCTGATCTGAGAGTCAGGAGCGAATTTCTAGCTGAACACGTGGGTGTTATCTATTTGCTCATTCCTTGCACCGCGTTATGCCAGGAAACTCTTCAGTTGAGGTGAAGTGCATCTGCCCAGCAGAGAGTGTTAACTGGGAGGCTCAGGTAGAACTTGGAACAGGCTTGGGCCTTGTTCCCCTAACCACTCCCAGCAGTAGACCTGGTCAAATGAGTCAGTCTTCAGAGCTCACCTCGGGGGCTTTCCATTTCCCCAGGGCAGCCCAGCTTCCCCGGCACTAACCCTGCCAACTGTGGCTTGCCAGAGCACATGGAATGTCCAACTCCCCTGCCCTCGAGCGCACCACCTCCGCATGGACCTGGAGACCCTCTGGCTGAGGCCACACTCTGCCACCCTGGCCCTGCCCCATGTCTTGTGGGCCACAGGCCGACTGTCTCACCGGCTGCGCAGCACTTTCCTCCACCACCAGCCCCAGTGACCGAGCAGAACTGCTGCTGGAGTCTGGCACCTCTCAGCAGGAGAAAGTGGGGGAGAGTCTGTCCCTCCGCTAGCCAGAACCAGCCCCTTCCGATGCAAGCGGGCGCTGTCCTAATCCAAGTGGAACTTCCCCTGACCTGAGACAAAAGGCAGGACTATGCAGCGCTTTAAAGACTAACAGGACGGTTTCTTAGGTGATGAGCTTTCGTGGGCCAGACCCACTTCCTCACATCACCTAATAAACCATCTTGTTAGTCTTTAAAGTGCTGCCTAGTCCTGCCTTTTGTTTCAGCAAGACCAGACTCACACGGCTGCATCTCTATCACTATTCCCCTGACCTGTTTAATTCCTTGAGCCGTATTTACAAGGTGCTCACCAAAAGCAGGAGGGGGCATGTGCACCAGCTACGTTCTCAGCCGGTGCCTGCACCACGGACTAGGCACTAGGGAATGATGCCCGCAAGCTGGCTGCGATGCACACTCACCAAGGTCGTTGTTGTTCATCATGGCGTTAGACACACGAAGCCGGGGGCCTTGCTGCGTAAAGTGATATCCGAATTTCAAGAGGGAGCTATTTTTTTCTAACATGTTTGCAATCTCCATTTCCACCTTGTTGCCCAGCGGCTGGCTCTTTATTAAAAGATAACAGAAAAGCAGGTTACAACTGAGGCTGTCCTGTTATTTCGGTCTTTGATCCCCGGCTGCCTCCTGCAGACTCTGCATTGCAGCTCATGAGCGCGCACAAACACCATGCAGGGCCTCCCTCACCACTGCCCAGCCTTCTGGGTGGCTGTCCAGAAAACACCCAGCGAGCCAAACCCCACGTTTTCTGAACCAAGGCCTCCCGCCAGAAGCTCTCTGGAGTCAATCCGGGAGGTCACGCTGGGGGCGGTTTTACCTGGTTGTCAATTTTGAGCTCTATCAACGAGGTATTGTGCTGGAGTGACTCCATCAGAGCCAGGATCCCTGACCCAGAGATGAAGTTGGATTCTACGTTCAAGCTCTTCAGTACACCGTTGGCTTTTAACATCTCTGCCAGTGCCTGCGGTCACAAAGGGCAGCACGTTAGCATTGAATAATAGCCAGCAGGATGAGCGGCCCAGGGCACGTTAGCCCGGGACTCTGGAGACCGGAGTTCAAACTCCTGCTTCCCCACAGACTGCCTGACACACCCTGGCAAGTCACGGCATCTGTGCCTCAGTTTCCCCCCTCTGGCATTTTTGAAACAACATCCAGGAACCAAAAAGATTTTTTTTCCCCTTTGCAGGTTGCCCCCTTCAAGACAACAATTCCACTGTTAGCCTGTCATCATACACAGCGTGGGAAGGTACTTACGTGGGCGACTGGGTCGTTGCTTCTTGTGCCTACTATGCTTAACTTCTTCACATAGGAATTAGTCTTCAGAGCTTCGGCGTATGCTTTTAACGTGGGTATGGGAATATTCTGTGAAAAGCAGGCCCAGGAAGGGGCATTAGACACTCTTCTTTGTTCTGATTCCCGGTACACGCCTTACAGAAGCACATTCTAAAGGAGCGCGCCCTGCGCGTATGAAATACAGCAATGGAAATGGATTATTTAGGAAGAGGCAGAGCGCTAACCTTAGACTGTGCAGTATTGCTCAGAGTCCTGCACAGCGAGGTGTGCTTGGCCTTCATCCTCTAGATCAGTGGTTGCCAGACTTCTCTTCTGGCAACTCAGTTGGAAAACATTGCTCAGGCCTGTGACCCAACAGAGTGGGGAGGAAGGGTTTGGGATCTGGGAGGGGGCTATGGTCTGGGGCAAGAGGTTGGTGTGTGGGAGTAGATCGGGGCTCAGCTGGAGGAGCAGGCTCTGGGGTGGGGCACGGGAGGCTCTCTGGATTTGGTGAGCTCAGGGTTGAGGCAGAGATTGGGGTGCGGGTTTACCTCTGATGGCTCCCAGTCAGCAGTGCTGCAGCCAGTCCTGGCACCATGGGAGTGCAGAGCCAGTGCTCAGGGCACGGGCAGCGCGTGGAGCCCGTAGCCCCGCTGGCCAGGAGCCAGATCTGCTGCTGGCCGCTTGGAGGGTGCAGCGCAGTGTCAGAACAGGTAGGGACTAGCAGTGCTTTTCAAAGTGCAGGTCGCAACCCAGCTTTCGCTGGCCACCAGGGCTCCCGGGTGCCTGACGCTCCACAGCCCGGTACTGGGCAGGACCCGAAGTTTGAAAACAGCGACTCTCCAGAGCACCCGGCCTGCCTGACTGTGAAGTGCTAAGTGCAGTAGGAAGGGGAGGCGCAGTACCCGAATATTATTAAGGTTGACTTCCTCGAGTTCAGGGTCATTGTTCTTTACTCGCTCCAAAGTTTCTTCCACATCTGTTGAATTGGGTTCTTCGTCGGGAACTGGTTTATATTGTGTGGGCTTAATCACACCTGCAATAAAAAGCAACATGAAAAAAAAAAAAAACAGACGAGGGGGAAGAGACATTTTCTCCAGACCACTCTCAGTTTGGGGCTGTTTTTCCCATCAGAGAAAGAGCAGGGGAAAGGAGAAATCATCTGGCTGATGAAGGGTCTAACCGAGGCTATAAAGTCACTTATGTAGCCCGGTGGTTTATTTTCACCACAAACCTGGCTCTGGCGTGCAAGCTGAGCCAAAGCGAACTGCGGACGGGGGCAGGGTTCTTTCCTTTGGGGGTGATGAACCAGAGGGAAAAGTCCCCGTCTGGTAGTTAAGAACATAGGGTACACAGATCTGGGGGTACCTGGCACCCTGCAGGGCATGCTTAGGCTGGTGGAAGCCAGGCTGGGACCATAATTCTCAGCCGATAGCCCACCAGTGACTTTGAGTCCAGCACAGCTGGAAATGGGACTTACTGTTCAGGCCTTCCTTGTTAACGATGGTGCTGCTCCCGAGCGCCTCGTAGTACTGCTGGTTACTCATCAGCGTGTGCATGCCAAGGATGGCTGCATCGAACCGAGGGGGAAACAAGCCAGTGTTACTGCGGCCCTGGTGCGGAGACAAGGGATCTGGGGCGTACGGCTCCTCCGAAGGGCCCTGAAACGTGCTTTTGGGCAAAGGTGGAGAAGCCGGACAGGTGGCCCCCGCACACGGCAGTTTGGGTCCCCCCGGGCAGCAGCACCGGCGAGGGAAAGGTGCAGGCCTCCCGAGCGGCAAGGGCCCGGGCTGTGCGCTAAGCTGACAGGCAGTTCCATGGAGGCACAGGCCTGGGAACAGTTTCCCATGGTCAGGCTGGGGGGAGTGTCTGGGCTGGAGCCAAACGGAAGAGAAGCGAGAGGAAGAATAAATCTCAACACACAGTAGTAATGAAGCCCCAGCCTGGCCTGGGCTGTACCATGTGCCTTGCACCTGCGGGGAGGAGCTCTCCACACCTCTCTGAGACGGCAGCATCAACAGCGTACCTGGCCACAGCATGAGACACCCCGGCCAGCAAAGCACAGCGCAGTGTACCCATCCCCCGCAGCACCCAACGCACACTCGGGTCAGTTCTGACACCAGCGTCGCCTTTGACCAGCTCCCAAACACCTGGCGCAGCGCGGGGGCCGCGGTGAACGGGTGGAGAGACCCACACAAGTAGCACAACGCTGCGAGAACACACGCCAGGTTTCAGACAACCAAGGCGTTGTAGTCGCTAATCTTCTAACCCTACAGACAGGCACAAGGAGAGACTGGCTGGTCTGCCTTAAACTCAGCCAAGCTGCGAACTGAAAATCCACCCCCCGAAAGAGGCTGCTAAGACCTGCTGTCAGACAGGGCGAGGCCAATGGAGTATTCTTCTGGCCCCTGCACACAGGGACGCATGAGAGAGAGACTCCCAACCCCCACATGGACCCTGAAGAGGTTCTCCAGCTTCATCATCAGCGTCAGCAACGCAGGCAGCAGCCGCCACCGCTTCTAAGCTCTTACGCAATCGGCGGAGAGTTACGCACCAAGGGCTGCTTCTGATGGCAGGACAGGTCATCACATCTCACTGGGCAGGCCTCAGACACGGTCTGCCTGCATCAATGGGTGGGAGGGCTTAGCATTTCAAAACTTGGCCAGTGGGCTGAAAGCAGCACACCAGGCAAGGAAAGACGACCTCTTTAAAAATAGGGGGCTGGACCATTCGCATCATGACAGCCAGCGCATCAGCCACGGACACACAACTGCTGTGATCAATGACAAGTGGCAATGGCTCAGCAGGGATAGCGTACCCTCCAAGAAGCAGGAGTACGATGGCTAGCATCAGGCAGGAAAAAGTCTGCACGTTTTTCTGGTAGAGGAAAAGAGCTGAAGAAACACAAGAGTGTGATTTGCCACCAAAAACTCACTTCTGGGGATGATGGCGCAACCTGCGAATGCAGTGTTGGTGTGGTGTGGTCACGTTGAGCCCTGGAGGTTAGAGAGACAAGGTGGACGAGGGGAGCTCTTTTATTGCACCAGCTTGTGCTGGGGAAAGAGCCAAGCGTTCAGGCTCAACAGAGCTCTTCTTTGGGCCTGGGAGCTGTTCAGAGGGGCCTGGGAACTGGCACGGGTTGTTTAGCACCAGGGGTTCGCACACACCGTAAGGGGCGCGCAAGCTGCAGTGGCCTGTTAGCACCCCTGCAGGCCTGGGACAAAGGAGGGGAGTTAGGGGCACAGGCTGCGGGTAATCACAAACCCTGCATCCTTAGGAAGATAGTTATGGCGCTACGCTCCCAGGCTCATGCTGTCGAGGACCAGCGCAGGGCCAGCCAGGAGTGAGGGTTGCTCCACACAGCGCCACCCCGTGGCTGAACAATGGAATGCCCATGGCGGAAAGTTAAAGCAAGACAAGTTGAAATGAGAACTAGGGCACCAGGGTGTAGCAGCAGGGTGAGCTGGATGGTCTCGGGTCGGGGTCCCGGGCGAGATGCCGTGTTTCCAAGGGCAGGAAAGGCTAGGACTTTACCTAGATACGTTCATGGAGGTTAGGGTCCAGCAATGGCTGTTGGCCTGGATGGGCAGGGATGGGGCCCGCCTCTGTTTTGTCGGGGGCTGGGAATGGGTGACGGGAGGGATCACTTGCTGATTCCCTGTTGTGTTCCTCCCTCTGGGGCACCTGGCACTGGCCCGCCAGCAAACAGGACACTGGGACGGACGGGCCTTTGGTCTCATGCCTTTCTCTGCTAGATTACACAGCCCTTTAGCGTCTGAATAAAGTCATCTCTGGACGCTGCCTAGCAAAACCAGCCTGTTCCCGGTGAGACAGCGACAGTGCACCACTGACTTCAGAGTCACCCTCCTCTCAAGCTGACACTGCAGAACTCTAGCTATCGGCGGAGCGGCAATGCCACCGACCTTTCCAGTGCACCCGAAGGACCCCGAGGGAGCGGCTGGGGAGCCCCCGCCCTGCTACTGCCCTAATCCCGCGTTTCTCAGACCGTGGGTCCCGAAGCTAGAGAGCCCCGTCCCTAATCACCAACCCTCCAATAGGCTGCTCAAGCAAACCGCGCCCACAAGGGACAAGAGCCAGGCAAGGTTCCGTGTGCTTTGTTCACAGGACATACTGGCACAGGCTCCGTGTGCATGCACAGGAGCGGCATGTCCTGGGAACAGACGCGGGGATTCAGAAAGAGAAAAAACAGGAACATTTTCTTTTTTGAGCAGATACTTGAACGCCCCCCAGCCCTGGATCAGTCCGGCCCCCGGAGATGGGCAGACTTTATTCCAGGATTCCTCTGCAGTCTCGGTAAATCCTACCCAACCCTTTCTCGGTGCGGGGCAGTCTTTGTAAGCAACGCTTCCCAGGCTCAGACAGCATTCCAACAACAGCAGAGAGGCGCGCCTCAGAAGACGGCAGGAACCGGTTTCCTCCTGCCAGCGAGGAGCATGAACAACGGACCAGCCCGTCGGACTCTCCCGGCTGGAACGGATCTTACCAGCAATGTCGCAGAGCTCTGCATACCCTTTCTCGGTGCGGGGCAGTCTTTGTAAGCAACGCTTCCCAGGCTCAGACAGCATTCCAACAACAGCAGAGAGGCGCGCCTCAGAAGACGGCAGGAACCGGTTTCCTCCTGCCAGCGAGGAGCATGAACAACGGACCAGCCCGTCGGACTCTCCCGGCTGGAACGGATCTTACCAGCAATGTCGCAGAGCTCTGCATCGGATATACAAAGTGAGGTCAATGGCACTCGGGCAGCTGGCTCCTGCTTAGTGATCATTCCAGAGAGCTCGAGGCCAAGTTCCCTGCAGGGCAGAGGGCCGGCAGAAGGACGTGCATGCTGCTTACTCCTGCACGGTGCACGGTGCTGCTGCTCTCAGCTGCAGCAAGAGCACCGGGTGGCCCTCTGCACAGGGCGCACTCTGCCTCCTCCCAGGGTGAGTTACAGATCCCGGTGCTCTGGGCCGGGGCCACCCCAGCCAGAAGTGGGACGTTACCTGTGGGCTGGAAGGAGCCCGGCCCCAGGTCCAGCTGTGGTCTCTTTGAAAAGCGCTCCTTGGGCCTGGATATTCAGCGCCCACAAACCGAACGGTGACAGCGGACACACACAGTGCTCGGAGCGGGAGCAGAGCACGCCGCTAAACCAGAACCCTTCTCTGGGAACCAAACAAAACGGCTTTGCCAGGCCACATGGGGCCGACTGAGCCAGCCAGAGACCCAGGAGAAATCAATGGCTCTCGCCCGGCCTGGCCTTTTCTAACAACGTTTGCTCAAACCCAGACGCAGCATCAGTAAGTGCAGCTCCCAGGGCTGTGCAGCTGCAGGCCCCTGGCGGGCAGCCCGGCGTGCCGTGACTGTGCACACTCTTGCTGCTCTCAGCTGCAGCGAGAACGCAGGAGCGCCAGGTGCCAGGACAAGCAGGAGCCAGCAGCAGCGAGGGGCGCGGAGAGAGCGCTGATCGGCAGAGCCCATGTGCCCACGGGGCAGGCCCCAGCACGAGCTCCCATGGGTGGGGGCGCCGGGCTGCGACAGAGTGACCTCTCACCTGGGCCACTCCAGCTAAGCCAGGGGCTGGCGAAATACAGCCCGTGACCCGCCAAGCATTTGGATCTGGCCTGCTGCCACCCAGCGGGCCCTCAGGACGGATCCCCTCCTGCCGCGGCCCCACACGCTGCTCAAAGGGGCCAGCGTGAGCATCTCTGCAGTGTGCACTGGGGGCCCCGAGAGCCAGGGGCCCCAGCTGTAAACCCTGCGTATGATGGGAATTGCTTCACGCCAGGGGCAAAGCAGCTCCCCAGCCCCCTACTTCCAGCGGGGCTGTCATCTCTTACCAGCGAGTGAGTGCCCTGCACAGTGAGAGCAGGAACCCCTCGGCCTGTCCCGCACCTCGAGGGAGCCCCGCCCCACCGCTGAGTGGGGCGATCCGTGACCTCTCGCGCTGGCCGGAAGGCCCAGTCGCCCCGGAGCAGCCTTGCTTCCAGCACTGGGGCACGTCTGCTAAGAGCTGCTGCAGGGAGGGGTTTGTTCCAGCTCTTCTGGGGAAGGCGCTCCAGAGCAGCCGCGCAGCACACAGAGAACCCCGCACAAGGAGCTCCTGGCACGAAGGGCACCTCGCGCTATTTCTGTCCCGTCTGGCAGCAGGGTCGGCCGTGCCCCCACAGCTGACCGGGAGAACAAAGGCCGCACTGCCACAGCTGCTAGGAAGCAGCACACGCCTCAGTGTGGCTAAATTTAGGCAACTCAAAGGAGCAACCGCGCTGTGTCCCGACATTGCAGCCGCTAAGTTGTATCTCTCGTAGCCGAGCCTGGTTTTTCTCTAGACAGGGAGTGAGTTGCACAGCTGGCAACACAAGGAACTGCAGAATTAATGTTCGGTGCCATTGCTTTGAGCAGGGATGTGGCAGCTGTATAAGTTACATCTTAGCTCTTGTTATTTTCCAAAAGATGTATGAGCAAGAGCTTTGCGGCTCAGGGGAAGGGCTATTTTTTAATTCTAATTGGAATCAGCAACAGACTCTGCTCACTTGCCAGTAACTGCTGTTCCGTACGAAATCAGACACCCGATTTCCCAGTCAAAACCGCAAGTTCTGCTTCTTCTTAGCCGTTCTGGGATGGACCCCAAGAAATGTCATTCATGTCTCATGCATATTAATGAACTCCCCCAATATTTCCTCCAATTAGAGAGAGCACCCACCGAAATCTTAGGGTAGTACACCCAACTATGGACCAGGGGTTGAACATCTGGGACACACTGGCACCAAAAAGAGCATTTAGTCCCAGGAAATTGGGAGATCGCGGCTGCTGCTTCAGCCGTCACTGACAGGGCCTGCTCTGGGGTGTTCATCTTCTCAGGTCAGGAGCCAAAGACTTGCCTCTAGTCTCTCTCTCTATTTCTATCTAGCTGCTTTGACTTTGTTCAAGTTTTGCTTTTAGGTATCTCCCATGCCACCTGCTCCAAGGCCTTTCAGGCAAAGGGAGGTTGGTCCTTCCACACCCAGCCTTGGGGGCATGACGAGCCCATGGGTATGAGATATTGTTAAGTGATTCACGTCTGTATACCTAGGGAAGCTTTAGTTTGATTTTGTTAATGCCATCTGGGGAAGAGATCCAATTAATCTGTGTCCTAGTCGCCATATTTGTTGTGGTTATCATCATCGTAATCCAACAGAATTGTTTTCCATTTCATTTCCTGAGTTCAAGTGTGGTTGCTGTCGATCGCCTGCTGGCCCTCACGAGGGGGCGTCTCACGATTCCACCTCATTGTAGCCTGGGACAGAGAGGACGAACTTAGAATTTCTGATCAGATTGGTGTGCCTGACCCACCGAAATGTCACTAGAGCGCCTTCCCAGGCTACAGGATGAAATGGAAAAGCCAAAAGCAGCTACGCATGGTACTTCCTGGAAAGGCCTGTTTGCACTTTCCATCCCATGTGTGATTTCAGTGGAGCAAGGGGAAGGAGTTTTATGGTGCCACTGCAGCTCTCTGGCCACGCCAGAGAAAGGGTCTTGTCTGGTCTGGCACTTCGGCTTAGAGGGTTTTAGATTCAAATGGCTGGAAGGCCCAGAGTGATTGACAGTACGGAGCATTCAAGCGAATGCTTTTCTCTTTTCCCAACAGCAGTCTGATTCCTACCCAGCACTGTAACGTGAGTCGCATTTGCAGTAACTAAGGTTAAGATTTTCTCACGGTTATTTTTTGTAAAAGTCACGGACACTAAAAAGATTCCTGGAAGCCCTTGACCCCTGTGACATAACCAGAGACTTGGCAAGAATGCTCAGAAAGCTATTGAACCAGGCAATGACAGCTGGTGGGGAAAACGTCAATGGGACAAAGTCCATTGTAATTTGCAGCTCGAAATGCTTTCTGAACGGGACCTACGCAGCGCTGCTGGTGTCGCGGGGTCCTGTGTTACGAGTGAGGAGATGAGAGATGCTATACCTTTCACCAGATCAACGGCTGTTGGGCCAAACTATTTCACCTCACATTTAGCTGCATCCTGAGCTTATGTCCCAGATTTCAAGAGGCGCCAGCCTTGAGTAAGCTACAAATCTTGTCTCTCTCACCAGCAGAAGCTGGTCCAGTAAAGGAATTACCTCATCAACCTGGTCTCACAAAACGGCAAACATTTTGTCAATTTCCAGGGAGAAAAGTGTTTTAACAATGTCAACCCTCCCATTTCCATTCGCTGTTGGGCTGTACGTTAGTCTACTGTAATAAGAAAGTTTAAAAATGACAATAGAAACAAAACATTTTGACTGACAGGAAACAAATTTGTTTAAGGGTTTTTCTTTGCACAGAAATTTGACATTTTTGGGCTTGTTCCAAGCTCAGTCCTTCTCAAAACAGAAGGTCTGTCCTCTGACAGCTCTGACGGTAGAGTTACGTACCCACCACACACACTCGACTCTTAATCTATGTGCGTGTGCCCAAGGCGCCGCCAGCTTTCTGAGTAGCTCACCTCATTCTCCTGTTGCTAGTTCCTTTCAGCGCCATGGGAAGGAAGAATGTGTAGTGGTTGAACATCAGAACGGCCACACTGGGGCAGGCCAAAGGTCCATCCAGCCCAGGGTCCTACCTGCCGACTGTGGCCAATGCCAGGGGCCCCAGAGGGAATGAACAGAACAGGGAATCAATGCGTGATTAATCCTCTGTTGCCCATTCCCAGCTTCTGGCAGTCATGTGCTAGGGACACTCAGAGCATGGGGCTGCATCTCTGACCAGCCTGGTGAACAGCCATTGACAGACCTATCCTCCAGGAACTTATCTAGCTCTTTTTTGAACCCTTTTATAGCTTGGGCCGTCACAACATCCTCTGGCAAGGAGTTCCACAGGTTGGCTGTGTATTCTGTGAAGAAATCCTGCCTTTTGTTTGTTTTAAACTTGCTGCCTGTTAATTTCATTGGGTGACCCCGTAAGTGCTGCCACACCCCCTGGCTTGACGTGGTTTCTATTCAGATACAGGGTCTACAGTTTGGTTTGGTGGATCGCAGCACCCCTGGATTACAAATTGTCCCAGCTCTCAGAGATGACCCTGGTTCCTGTGCAGTGTGAAGGGGTAAATAACATTTTCTTCTTCACTCTCTCCACACCAACCACAACTTTATAGGCCTCTCTCTCACGCCCCTTAGCTGTCTCAGAGAGAAGTTCCAGTCTTTTTCTCTCGCCTCATCTGTTCCATGCCCCTAATCACTTGCGTTGCCCTTCTCTGTACCTTTCCCACGCCAGTCTGTCTTTCTGGAGATGAGGCGACCACCTCTGCACGCAGCGTGCGAGGCTGGGCATGGCATGGGTGTACGAAGGGGCAATGTAGCGATTACTGACTCAGTAGCGAGCCCTTTCCTAACCATTCCCAGCACTCGGTTGTTGGCGGCCGCTGTGCACGGAGGGGCTGTTTTCAGAGAACGATCGCATGGTAACAGCTCATTTAGCCCCCGCCACTCTGTGTGTGTCACTGGGATTCTGTTGCCTGACGTGCGGAACTTGGCACTTTCCAGCTGATTTTTAGTTCCCAGCTTAGAGCCAGGAACTACAGGCAGGACTGTCCAGCAAGTGCAGGCAACTTGGGGTTCTATTCCTGGCTCTGTCCCCCTGGGCAAGTCACTGAACACCTCGGTGCCTACTGGCAGTGCAAACGGATCTCTGCATCCCCAGACAGGTGCACATGGTAACCAGCTGAAACCTCTCTGCCTGCACCAGCGCCTGTCCCTGCACCCTTGTGCTCTCACCCTTCATGTATTTGCAGGCAGTTCTCACGTGAGCCAAGCGACACGTGTGTAGCTCACTTAATGTTCCCTCAGTCACTGAACACCTCGGTGCCTACTGGCAGTGCAAACGGATCTCTGCATCCCCAGACAGGTGCACATGGTAACCAGCTGAAACCTCTCTGCCTGCACCAGCGCCTGTCCCTGCACCCTTGTGCTCTCACCCTTCATGTATTTGCAGGCAGTTCTCACGTGAGCCAAGCGACACGTGTGTAGCTCACTTAATGTTCCCTCAGCAA